AATTCTCTAATTTTGGTGAATATTTTTGTAATTTTTGGTAAAAAGTGATATTTTCGACTTCTTGTTAAAAACCGCAAGTCCAATTGCTTTGATATTACATATATAGGTACTACATATGGTCCTCTCTCAGATTTGTTCATTTCATGATGATATCTTCAATTCTCTAATTTTGATGAATATTTTTATAATTGTTGGTAAAAAGTGATATTTTCGACTTCTTGTTAAAAACCACAAGTCTGATTGCTTTGATATTACATATATGTGTATTACATGTGGACCTCTCTCAGATTTGTTCATTTTGTAAAGATATCTTTAGTTCTCTAATTTTGGTGAATATTTTTGTCATTTTTGGTAAAAAGTGATATTTTCGACTTCTTGTTAAAAACCGCAAGTCCAATTGCTTTGATAACTCATATATAGGTACTACATGTAGACCCCTCTCAGATTTGTTCATTTTGTAATGATATTTTTAATTCTCTAATTTTGATGAATATTTTTATAATTTTTGTGAAAAGTGATATTTTCGACTTCTTGTGGAAAACCGACAGTCCAATTGCTTTGATATTATATATATAGGTACTACATGTGGACCTCTCCCAGATGTGTTCATTTCGTGATGATATCTTTAATTCTCTAATTTTAGGGAATATTTTTGTAATTTTTGTTAAAAAGTGATATTTTCGACTTCTTGTTAAAAACCACAAGTCCGATTGCTTTGATATTACATATATAGGTACTACATGTGGACCTCTATCAGATGTGTTAATTTCATGGTGATATCTTCAATTATCTAAATTTAATTGAAATCTGCATTGGGAGCAGTGGAGCTATCTCAGCCAACAGGCTTCTTGTTTATTTACCTAATCACATGTGCTGCTGCCATGTTTTCTTTTTAATTTTTTGTGTAATGTATACTGTTTAGTCTCTTGTACCTCTTAGGAGGTAGAAAAGGGAAATAAACATTATTATTGTACATCTGTCACCGTAACACCATACCGGTAAATTTCAGCGTGTCGTAATTTTGTGGTATTTTATGGGGTAGTTTCGTCCTACCATATTAGGAAATGCTAATTCCAAATATGGAATGATTACACGCATAAGCATCCACTAATAATAAAAACAAAAATGGCTGCGACCAGAGTTTGACATGACTCCACACAAAGAAGTTTGCTGATTCTGTTCTAAACATTTTGAATTTCGGCATTCCCATGGTGTATCCTTAAAAGGAAAATAATAATAAGGTTATTATTATGTTTGAGGTACACTGTTAATACA